TATATTTACAACTTTTGTTTGTGGTTTGGTCTTGGGTTTGACCAATTAAGCCTCAAATACATATAAGCCTCAAAGTACTCTATATATATAATCCGAATCGATATTCGAAATTAAGAATAATATTTTAATCCAAACTAAAAGTTTTGTTTTTCATAATTTCTTGGACTATGGTTCTAGAGTATCCGATTTTTAATTCGGTTCGATTGTATATAAAATCTTCAGATGAAAAAAAAATCGATGTCCAAAATTAAAATAATTTCAAAATGAGAGAGTCGAAAGAAATAATTTTATCACCAATTTTTAGTTGAACCGAAGTAAAGTTTTAATTGGCCTTCGCCGATAATTTTGTTTTAAGATTCCAATTCATAGAAGCAAATTTATGATATCACTCAAATCGACTATCATTTGACCAGTGACCACACCGTATGTTTTAAGCCTCAAATATGAAAAGTGAAGGGTTACTAAAATGGGTGTTAACCCAAACAATTGGGGGAAATGAAATAATATCTCATTATGTATCAGCTCACCGAATAATTAAAATATGTAAATCATGTAGCTGTTACCAATGAACTTTTTTTGTTTCACATTGCAGAGACGAAAAGGTGAAGTAAAAGTCGCCGCTTTTCTATTCCTTGGACCCCAAGCTTCTTTTCTTCCATTAAATTAATACAGCTTTAAAATCAATAGATATTAAATGACAACCTTTTTAAAATTATTGGGTCTTATGACTCTTATCCAATGAAGAAATCAGTATTGATTACTAATTTAATTAAAAAATACTAGTAAAGAACGATTGAAAATAGTAAGGAATTAAAAACAGCACAACACTGAAGGAGGTGAAAAAACATGAGAAACAAAGGACGGTCCAGACAAACAAATATTCAAACCATTGAATATGAAACAACATCATGTTCTCCAAGACAGCCCCAACTTAATTTATTCTAATAATACCAAATTTATTAATCCCCATTATCGTATCTTGTCCACCATATATTTACAAATATACACATTACCCATATCGTATTTTTCTAAGATTTTTCCTTTAGTATCAAATTCTACATATCACACTACCAAGGTTTGACAAGAGAAAAAAAAAAATAGAATCTTAAAAGTAAAATTTTACTTTAATTCATTAATTGGTGCCATGATCATAATTATAAGACAAAACATGAGTTTACAACCTTCTAAAAAAATAGTGGTGATTCTGTTTACAAGACGGTTCATGTTTTTTTCTAAAATCAAATAGACGGTTCTGATTACTACCCAAAATCATACTTCTTCTGTTTCAAAATATAAGTTATTTTAGTTAAAAACGTGGATATTAAGAAACTATTTTTGTACTAAAAAATATCATTTAATAGATTTAATAAAAATAATATAACCAATCACACAAAAAAATTGCAAAATACTAGTGGTCATACAATATTTAATAAAGTTAAAAAATACCTAATATTGTCAAAAAACTTATATTTTGAAACAAAAAAACTTTCTAAAACCACTTACATTTTGAAACGGAGGGAGTATTATTTAGACGTCGAATGTCCTTAGTATATTATAAATGTCTACTCATTAACAAATACTAACTCATGTTAAGTAATATTAACAAAGATTAATTTGGT